ACTTCATATATAACTGTCATTTATTTTACCAAAAAAATTTATATTGGAATGTGATACCATACATTTCAAAAGCAAAAAATTTTCCGCAATATATTTTACCATTATCCACCATTTTATATCCAATTTATCAAATCATCACCTTCTACTTTATAAATAAAACTTTACATATAAATGAAATCAACATCAACAACTGACAAACCATTTCTACCGCTTTTCCATTTATAACTTTTAATGCTTGGACCATTCTAACATTTTCAGCTATCATATACACCACTCTCCTACATTTACTCCTTTCTTGTTTTTACTTTTCATTATATGATTTCAGCCTATTTCACTTCCACACCCAACTCTCACCTTAATAATTCCATATTTATCCTAATCCAAACTCAACAACCTATACAGTTTACATGTTTCTTCTTATTCTAACATCATACCAACTCTCAATGACCAATACAAGTCAGGGTATAATTGCATTGATCCACCGCGCATAGCGCGGTTACACCCTCCTAGTCTTTCTTCTACGCTCCTTAAAACTTGGGAGTTGAAGTTGGCAATATATAGTATTTGCCAAGAACCAATTAGAAAAAGTAAATTTTCTTGAAAGTCTTAATGGTTAGTATTGAGTTGCACGAATTAACATACAAAATGATCAAACTTGTCAAGGAGTCCCTAGTCCCCTAGCCCACTTCAAATTGTATGGAAAAAATTTTTGGAACATTGATAATTTGATTCATGCCTTATTGCTGCCATGATTTATACTTGTATGGTATATGAGTTTTTGTTTTTTTTATAACGATCATTTTTTGAGCGTCATGTCTAAGGCATGCAAGTGGTATAATACTTTTTTGGACCGACATTGAAAAATTAAGATGATGATCACTAAAATTAACATGATGAAACTTTATATGTTAACTAGTAACAGGTCATATGTCTTGCATATGATTATAAATCATAAGCTATAATATTTCTTATACATCAAAATTTTAAACAAATTTAATACTTGAATTTTTTTATTTTCCCTTTTATTTTTATTTTTATCTTTTTCAATAAATGGGAGGTCTTGAACCGAGGACCTCCTACTGATAATTCCTTCTGCCATACGACTCAACCTAACCTTCTCCCTATTTTCTTTTTTTTATTTAATTTTTCATCTTCTTTAATTAATTGTCCTTAAAACTATTATTTTAAAAGAAAAAAAAAGGTTCACAAAATGTTGTATCTATAAATTCATATAAAATATCGAAAGAATTTTTAACAAATGAGGATACATTGACAATTAATTAAAGAAGATGAAAATTTAACAATATTTTGAATGGATTGTACCATGTCAATACTTCTAATTGTTCTTTTGTTTTTTTTTTGTTTTCCAAGACAAACAAATTATGATAATACCATTACAATTTTTTATTTTTAATTAGATATTCCAACAATTTTTTAAATTTTTTTGAAGTTAGATGACCTGAATTTGCACGCTAAGCAAAAGTTAATTGTTTACTAATCATTGGACTTGGCCCAAAGGTGAAAAGAGAGCTCTTAGAATTCTTTTCGATTTTAAATTTAGGATTCAAATCCTACACTTAACAGCTAGGAATAGAAAAAATATGCGGAGGGATGGGAGGGTAAAAATAAAATAAAAATAATTGTTTGCATAAATATCTATTGCATGATCTACCACTATTATTTTTCATGTTACATAAGTTGAATTTGTCAATTGGTTGATGAAATTTCTCAATATGAAGTTATATGCACTTTTTTTTTTTGAAAAATGAAGATATATATATTCTTTGAATTTAAACTCTTTGTATTTTTTTCATATGCTATTCGTATTAATAATGGAGTATGAATGATCCACTACATATAAATTTTTTTTGTCTAACTATTCATTTTTTTGAGAATTAAAATTTCATTGGTAGAGATAATTGAGTTTTTCTTTTTTTTTTTTGTTTTCTTTTATTTTTTAATTTTTGGACAAAATCTGACATAAAGCAAAAATGATAAAGATTTTATTATCCTAAAAGCACCTCATTTTGGTATCAATACTAGCATTTTTGAAGATTTTAAAAATTCAATTAAGACGTAACTAATCAAGAATTTTTAATGAAAATAAAAAAAATTAGAGTAGAATCACATTACTTTGGAGTGTTATATTTTATTTATTGTCTTCATTATTCAAATTTAATTAAGGTTATAGTTTTTTTTCATAACTGCTACAATTATTATTTTTATTGAAATGCAATAAATTTAATTATTAGGGAGAAAGTTATTTTGGACAAATAAAAAATAAAGACTAGATCCCACTTAGTCTCTAATGCTTAATGTCTTTTCTAGTCATCTACCATCATTTTCTTTTAGATCTATATATATGGTCTAATGAATTTTAATCATCATAATAAATTAAAAACTATAAAGAGAATAATATGAAATCTCAATCATCAATTAATAAGGACATAATTGGAATAATAAAAGTTACAAACACAATAATGCTTACACTTACATTTCAAAGCAACTTTATTCATGGTACTTTTAATATAGTAGTAGTAGTAGTAGTAGTAGTAGTAGTAATAATAATAATAATAATAAACCATTAACTTCATCTAAATCAATAGATATGATATAATGAATTTTTAATCATCACAATAAATTAAAAGGGCATAACATGAAACTTCATTAATCAATTAATAAGGGCATAATTGGAATAATAAAAATTAACATCACAATAATGCTTACACTTACCTTATTTAAGCTTCATGTTTAAGGTTTGCAAGTAGTGAAAATAATTTAACTTGATAAAATATAATTCTATCTAGCTAGATAAATAATGTAGGTTGTAGTAAAATAAGCTTCTATCTAGCTAGATATATAGTGTAGGTCAACCGAAGCCATTGCTAATAGAGCATTGCTGCTTCATATACAGGTCAAAGAAGGGTTGGAGTCAAATTCAATTTTTCCTCATCTCCTCGAGGTAATCCTGGCTGTCCATCCGAAAGGATGGACAACATTTGCATATTTATTGTAAAAAAAAGTGACAATTTTATTAATCTGTACATAAGTGTCATGTGCAACTAAGAATATATACAAAGATAAATTACAAACTTCTAACCTAATGTACTAGAATACTACGCTAATTCTATTGTTGTCATATAACTAATTCTATCTTTATCGTATAAAAATACAAAATTAATTCTATCCCAATCGTATAACATGAGAGATGATAAAGAAAATAAGAGTGATATATGCTAACGGCCTTCCGCAAGCTGGAGTGTGGGGGAACGACACACCAAGCTTGCACAATAATCGATGAGAAAGATCAAAACCAAGTGCTTTGTGAACAAGTTTGTAGGTTGATCCTCTAAACGGATAAAATGGGTGCAAAACTCGTTGGACTGAATCCACCCACGAACAAAGTGACGATCCATCTCAATATGTGTTGACACGCTCATGGAAAATAGGATTGTCAGCAATATGAAGTGCAACTTGATTGTCACAATCATCCAAACTATTCTAGTACAATCATCCACAAGAGTTTAAAAAAAATGAGTCCCAAAATTTGAAGGTGTTTGATAAGTCCCCCTATATATCAATATGAACTAAATGAAGAGGAGTCACAGATTTATTAATACTTGGATAAAAAACTTGCCCAGAAGTCTTTGCCAAAGGGCACACAGTACATTCTTGGCCAACTTTATCAAAACGAATATGAGAAAAATTAGGTATAGACACCAACCGATTGTGTAAAGAGTGTCATACCCTTTGATGCCATAGAAAATTGGATCCTGAAACTACATTAGTTTTGACATGACAAGACTCGGCATAGTTTGTGATGAAGTAGTGAAGACCATTCCATTCCTTACCTACCCGAATCAGTTTCCTTGAGCATAGGTCCTGAACAACATAAAAAATTGGAAAAAAAATATAACCACACAATTATGTTCTTTGATGAGATGACTAATAGAAATAAGATTACAATGAAAACCTGAAACATGTAGAATATTATGCAAAGTAATCAGAGAATTTAAATGATGACTATCATGTTCTTGAAGTTGTTTCATAGTGCCTTCGGGTAAGAATATGTTATTAGGTGTTTTGGACTTCACTAGATCGAACAAGAAGAATTCATATCCTATAAAATGATGAGTAGCACTTGTGTCTAGTAACCAAGTGAAGCAAGAGAGGAATTTGGAGTCAAAAATGAGTTGTATTACTAGCAAAATTAACCGGGCCAGAGACTTTTTCACGGTTCAAAAATGATAGGAGCTGCTCATAGTTTACGGCTGTTTAATTGCTAATTGAAGTAGTGGAAACCAAAGAATTTGTTATATCATTTGAACTTGGATCACAGAACACATCACCAGTCAAGGAATTTCTTGGATTCCGTGGTTTAATTTGCTCCGCCATTGTTTCAAGAACTCGACAAGAAGGAATAACAAAAGATTAAAACATGAGGAAATAATAACAAATTCAAATATGGAAAAAAGAGCAAGCAAGATCATTACTCTGATACCATGTCAAAAAGTTTACATAATGCCATGTACAGTCGAGAATATAAACAAAGATAAATTACAAACTGCTAATCTAATGTACTGGGATACCACACTAATTCTATTGTTATCACATAACTAGACCCCGTTTGATAACCAAATTCAACACTTAAACTTAATATATTCAGATTTTAACATGTTCAAATGCATTTAATAACTAAAAATTCAATATTTGAATTAATTAAGTGGTACTAAATTTTCTAGTTAAAACTTGTTTCCAAAATTAAGTGATAAATTAATAACTTATCACTGAATATGATATATAGTTAAATGTATTATATTTAATATTTAATAATTCAATAATTTAATGGATTCAGACTTTAGATTTCAAATTTCAGATTTTAGTTTTCAAATTTTAATTTTATCAAATACACCCTAATTCTATCTTTATCATGTAGGAATACAAAAATGAATTCTATCCTAATCGTATATCAATTACAAAGGATAACAAGATAATAGGAGAGATGATAAAGCAAATACGAGTAATATATGCTAACATTTATTACACAAGCCCGTTATACAGTTTCACAAAATACTACACACCAGTCAACTAGAAATAGCAGTATATTTTGTACGGGGTCCATACGAATTATTCTCATGAGAAATAGTCACGCACATTAATTAGGGATCCAACTATCCAAGCCCATTCCTTTCGGGAAAAAAACCTATCCAAGCCCATCCCTTATACTAGTTTTCCACACAGACAATAACAAAATCATTTTAACCTCACAGAGGCAGAGCCATAGTTGTGAAATGGAGCTTGCACTCTCTCGTCGACTGGAGGAGACCAGTTATTCAGTGGCATACTCTGCTTCACCGGCGGTTCTTGAAGTACTTGCTCCGGGTTAGAAAATTGGTCCGTCAACAGCACCTCCCTGGAATGCAAATGTGACAGTCACTTACCTAGCAAAAACATAATTATAAGCTTATGAGGGCCAGAAGGTTATAGGAAAATTACAAGTCAACGTTTTCTTCAAAATTATTTGCAATTGCTTCTAAAGGCTCCCCAGTCTGCAGAATAGCACTTTTATCCTTTAGAGTTTCAGTTCCCTTCCCTTTATCCTTCACGCTTGCCAGACAATTTGCACCACAAACCCCACCTCTAACCCGGCCCTGAAAATATGGAAGTGCCTGAGCATCAACATTCTAATCATTACATATGTGTTGTAAAACAAATGACATGTTGGACCAGCCTCAAGCCGAACCGTCTCAAACAGGGGGAGAATGGGGAGTGGATACAGAGCATTAGGCAAAGCAAAGATATTGCCAATGGATGATTTTCGGTTTCCGACAGTGACATAAAATGATGCTAATGATACGACATATGTCCTACATGAATTTTCATCTTTTGCAAGTAAATAGCAGCATCAAGGACTAACTTGAACAGAAATATTGTAGCAGGTTATACCAAGTGAATACCTATGCTAGCAAATTTAATTTTTTTAGTATCCTCCTTGATTCCAGGTCCAATGACCTCAGTTCTCTTGCTTCTCTGAACGTTACTCCCTCTTTCCATTCCAGTTGCCTCTCTCCTCCTCATCCTTCATTCTTCTCTATTTTCCTTTTCTTTATAACACTCCAACTCTCCATCCTGATACTCTCCTTTTTTTTGGGGGAGGGGGGAACACTCCCCTTCTTTCTTGCTCATTCTAGGGAATTCATCCTGTTACTCACCCCCACCTCTCTATTTCTCTATCTCTCGTCCTTGTCTTCAAACCGAAATTTCTCCCTCATTCCAATGCCATTGTATAATGATGTTATCTCCACTAATAAGAAGATTGAATAATTCTTAAGATCAAAAGAATTATGCACATTTAAATTCAAGTACAAAATGAATGGGTATGTTTTTGTTCTTGCACTAAGTGGATATGGACTCAACTCCTAGAATTGTTAAGATTGTATATTCAACTGTTTTGGTTTCTTTAGTCGATATGTGTTTGTCAATTGTGCTACAGTCACGTACTTCACAGTAAAAGTTCAGAAAATTCTCATACAAGCTAAAAACCCAAAAAAAAATTGATGTTATTATTAATCTATGGAAATTTGCATAAGCATTGATTCCACGGATCTCTTCAGCTACGACAGTCAAATTAGCAAAGCCCAAGTTGAAGGTTGCAAATTGCTATACACCTTCAATCGATAGAAAACATAATATGATTAGGTTTCTCTTCTTACAATTATTTTATAAAGGATGACAGTGCACAGGGTCGACTTCTTCAAACAATGTGGACGTCAAAATCATAAAGAACATTGAGATACACAATTTCATCTTGTCAGTGTTCTGCTTCTTCCATTAATGCTGATCATACAAATGTAGGATGCTTAGAAGCACAAGGGGACCCACATGATTGTTTGGTATCTAACTGATTGATTAGTATTTACAAATATTTGATAGTTTTAATTAATTAGTTAGTATATTAGATCACTTCCCCTCACAATTAATGTTCTCTGGCAATCTGGAAAGCCAGAAATGACATAGAATTGAATCACAAAAACAAGGAGCCACAGAAAATCATTGGGAAAACATGTACGTAATGGATGGAGTTTGATGATGCAATCAAAGGAAGGAAAGAAAAGAGGAGCACTCAGGAAACAGCAACACAAAAGAGAACAAATCTAAATCACTAAGTGGATCATAGGTGTGTCAGTATTAAACTTCATGTACAGCAGCTAGAGAACTGTCAAATATCTGGAATGGGAATCATTGCAAGGGATCAATCAGGCCAAGTCAAAACAGGCTAGGCAATGGAGGAAAGGAAGCAAGGGAAGCTGGTGCAAGATCATGCAGAGGCAGTGAAGCTAGAAATCATTAAAACAGCTGAGCAAGGATGAAGAAGCATACGAATAGAAGTGAAGACATCAAGTCCCTGGGATTACTATTTTCACAGTGCTTTTGTTTGTTTTGTACGCAGATAAAAATGATATTATTACATCTCTTAGCAATTATGCTCTAAGCATATATCAGGATGAAGAATGGGTTATTCCTGCTTCTGTGATAGTACAGGCACTTCTGTATAGTTTTTTGGACCTTTGTCCATTGCTCATTGGACCATTGTCCATATATTGTATATTTTGGCTTTACTAATACAGCTACCGTTTCGACCACGAAAAAAAGTCAATATATTAGACCTTTGAAGGGCATTTTGAACCTTAAAGACATAATTGCTCTGGTAATTTATGCTCAATTTTCGGATGGGGCACACAACAATCGCCAACCTTATCATCCTCATAGTTACTGGTCACGGAATAAGATTCGATTTTTAGCTTTTTACAACTAATGGAAAATAAAGACTTTAGGCCAAGTAAAATTATTGTGCAGGTTCCTAACTTTTATGCAAGATTCCAGTTAGACGTCAAATTATTCTAAAATTTTATCAAAATTTCAGTTTCTCTTAAACAAATATCTGATGTCAATCCAATATTTTCCAGTTTCTACTCTAATTATTTTATGTCAATTTAAGGTCAAGTAGCAATCATTTCAACACATATTTGAAACAAAATTCATAAATTTGTTGCTGATAGTTTGTCGTTACTAAATTAAGAGTTTGTTTATTATGTCATGTAGATTCTGTTTCTTTAAAAAGAGCCAAATATAATTGATAGCTTGTATTTTATTGAATTAATCTTTCCTACACACTGTTAGTTTTGGATGAATAATAATTATATCAAATTTGAATTTGAAATTTAACTTTACATATGTGTCATAAATTTAGCAATGATAATATATACACTGTTAGTGTATATAAGATTTACTCTAATTTGTTACCATTGTATTTGTCTTGTAACTTAGGTGCACTGGAATATTCTTTTGTTTCATACCATGATGTCTTTGTTTTTTAATAATGCTTGGTGAATGTGGTAAATGTATGAAAGTCAAGAATAGGATAACAGTCATGACTTTGCTAAAAGTGCCTACTTGATTTGTGAAAATTCAAAGAATAAATTTGGGTCGATAGTGAAGAAATAAAAATTATCGTAAAATTATACAAAAGCAATATTAGGGTGCAAAACAATGTTCCTATTTCCATGCCTAAAGTGAATCTCTTATACCTACCCAAAAAACGGGGGAAACCATTAGTTTGAATAGCATGAGCATTAGAAAAGGTGATTAATGAGTTCACCTATAAAAAACGATTATAAATCAACCACATTTTTAAGCAATAGACACAATTATAAGAATTTCTAAAATCAATAAAATGGATCATATCTTAGTTTGTTTCTATCATTTAAGTCATAAGTCGTTTAATATATGATTTCTTTGATTAATTTGTATGAAAAAAAAAAAAAAGATCAGGTGGACTCTATTCTGGTAGGTAAACAAAAGGGTAAATTTCATTAAGAAACGTTAGATAGCACCCCTTAAATTTCATAATAACAATGGCCTCCTTTCGTTATGTTCTTTCTATCATTATCATTAGCAAGTGCATGTGAACAAATTTGTTACTTTCCTTTTGCATTCCTTAGTTTTTTTTTTTTTTCCTTTGCCATCTTTCCGTTTTTTTTTTTTTTTTGGTGTTTCCCAAAACATCCATGCCTCTTATGCACTTGTAATGCATTATAGAATCTGATAGAAGTCATAGTTGATTATATTTGGAAAAAGCATGGCCGAACACAGGTCAGAGTTGACCAAAATAGTTCTGAAGGCCAAAATATAATTCAAAAGGTAAATGAAATAATACAAAAGTTTTCTCTTACTAATTAAAGTAATTGTTTTCTTTAGATTGTAGAAAGACCTAACACCACTTTTCTACAATAAATAATATTAGAAGGAGGTGGCCTTGGATAAGTTAAACATTGTACTTTCTCATCCATAAATCTTCAAGTATATTCATGAGCTTAGAATAATGGGTAATTTAAGACAAAATACATTGGTAATCCGATAAATACTTAAACATTAAATGCTAGTGTTTTACTTTTGGCCAATTTAATCCCTTATCTATAATCACCACTATTTTAGTCCCTTATTTTAAAAATTAAAATCTTGAACCTCTAATGAGAATATGAAAACTTCTAACGGCATTAGTTATGTGCATGGCATGTATACCATAAAAATGACTGTTTTGATACATATCATTAGGGTAGTGTTCGATTTTGTAATTTTAGTAATTTAAACCCCCATTTTTCAAAATTAAGTCAATGTAAGACTTTTACTGGGAAATAAGACAACTTTAATGGAGCCAAATCTGTACACTACAAATCTATCTTTGAAAAAAAAAAAAAAAAAAGATAAAACATGTACTTGAAGGTAGGTCAGATGTTGTTAAACTCCCATTGATGAAACGTTAGATAACCTCAATGTAGGATTTTTATTGGGAAATTATCAAATGTTGTTAACTCCCATTGATAAATTTACACTAGGGAAGGTTGGTAAATTTGTCTAACTACAAATCATAAACAAGGATGGAGGTTTTTTATTATTTTTAAATCTTCAAGGGAGGTCTTCATTTTTTTTTTTAACAAACTAGAGGGGAGACTGTTGTCCCTATACAGAATTTAAGGAGGCAGTTTTAACATGGAAGGACATAACCCTTTTTCAATATACCATATCAAAATTGAAGAAACAATTTAAAGTAATTTTTGTTTTGGGAAATAAGAAATAATTTAGTTAATTTAACATTGTACTATAAGATGGAATTAAACACTATGTAAAAACTCATCTCTGAAAGGAATTAAGTTTTTAAAGAATATTTAGGGAGGGGGTAATATATAATCAAGTTTTCAAATATGAAACCAATTTAAAAAAATCAGGAAAAAAAAGTCATAGTCAGACAAGTAATTTGGCTTCCCTTTTGGTTTTTGAAAAGGAGCAACTGATCAGGTAGGGAACGTTACCTCGTTGTCTGATCGCGGCCACTCGATTCCTGCCGTTGCATCGTGACCATGAGTTACAGGAACAGTTGAATTCGAAAAGTTTACATCCCCTCCCCGCGGTGGTTGATATTGCCTCTGAAGAAGTAACTCAATCCGATTATTTACATTCTCAAATTGAGTTACATTTTCAAATTTAGAGAACCCTGCTTTTATTCGATTAACAAAGTGGTCAATGCTTCCGTTGTTGATTTCTAAGACAATAGTCAACTCCTCGAGCTTGTTAAGGTGTTTAGCTGTGGAAAATGTCTCCGATGTTTGCCTTTCAAGAGAATCTCGGTCCGGACTGGGATTGCACGCTCCAGGGCCCAATGAAAACCTCAAGCAGATCAGATTAACCAAACTCCTAATTTCTTCTGGTAAACAGCGGATTAAAGTGCCTCGAATATCAAGAACTTCGAGCTTTTTGAGTTTCCGTATTCCAGGTGGGAGCTGTTGTAATTTACCACAATTGTTGAGGTATAAACTCTGAAGCGCTGTCAGGGAAGAGAGACAGGTGGGCAGCAATTTCATTCCCAAGCTATTCAGTGCCAAAACTCGAAGTGTCTTCATATTTCTGAAGAATGAATCCTGAATGATTTCCAATTCTGGATTGAGTAGCAGAAATAGCGTTGACATGCGCTTAGATTCTGGGTTGACAGGTAACTTTACTGATTTACTTTGCATCAAAGAAACCCTTCTAGCCTTCTTCCATTCGGCCTCTTCTAGGTGTCCCGGGACTCCTGACTTGACAAATGATGTTTCACGTTCCTCCCCAGGAAAAGGTGTTTCAAGTGCAACTCTCCTGCAGTTTATTGGCATCTTGGCATGCCGTTTAGAGCATTTCTGCAAGAGATGATGCATTGTCAGCTCGTTGAGTACAGTGCGTCCTTCGCTGCGTGCAGCAGCAAATGAAGAACCAGGACACCATAGAAATCCTTCAGCTTTCCAACATTCGACCAAAATATCTATGGGAATTGGGAACACTTTCGGAAACAATGCTGCATAAAGTACGCACTTTCGATCATTCTCTTTCAAGTTATCATAGGCTATATGAAAAGCCAGTTTTACTCCTCCTAATTCCGGAAGGTCAATGACATTAACATCTGCTTTCAATCTTTGATTCAAACCTTCCCAGCAATCTTCTTGTTCGCATTTCAGCGATCGTGCTATGGATATGATGACTCCTGGAAGCCCACCAAGCTCCTCAACGATCATGTCACCTAGATCTCTGTTTTCTTCACAAAGTTTTTCATCAGCAATGATCTTATCAAACAATATCCTTGAATCTTGGGGTGATAGCTTCTCTAATTCGATTTTTTTGTGGCATTTAAAATTCTTCAGGAGATATGGGTCTTTAGCTTCAATGATGACTTTCCCGTGCTCGTGTTCTTCAGAGATTCCAATGTCCTCAAGCTCAATTGATGGAGAGAACCCGTCAAAAAGCAGCAAATAAGATTTCTCACATAGTGCTCTAGATATTGCTTCTTTTTTCCCACTTCCACTATTCTGCCCAGCTAAGTCCAGACGCTGAAGAATTTTGTCTTGTATGTCAGTGGTGATGTCCTCTGGCTCGGACAGACGAGTCGGAAAGGTCACCCAAATGACGCAGTCCAATTCCAGGCCGGGAGGGCATTGAACCAACCGGTTATTTAAGTTTCTCAAAATATTTGTTTTTCCAACTTGTGGTTCTCCGTGGATGATAATCCTTTTGCAGTCTGCGTCACATAAACAAACCACCAGGCTATCAAGGACCGCTTGATGTGAAGGCGCATGAGTTAGTTCTTTAGCACTCTGTCTTAGAACAATTTCTGGATTTACCCGACTAGTAACATGCTCAAGTGTAATCTTAATTTCGAGTTCAGTGACTTCAGTCATAAACTTGCGAACGTTTTTGTCCAGCCTTGCAAGTCTGTAGAATGTTCGGATATAGAATTTGTTGTTCCAACGTTTGGAAGCGGCTGACAATTCACCAACCGGGATTTGGTTTCCAGCTTCTCCGTTTGCACCTGACTCAAGTCCAACTAGCTTTTTGTATCGGTTGACGATTCTCTCTTGGTAATGTTTCAATATCCGATCTTTCTCTTTAAGACAAGCTTCGTAATTATCGTTTTTCTGTCTGGTCACCGATTGACGATTTATATCGTCATTGAGCACCTTCCAACTTGAACAGAGACTAACCACTCGATTATTTAGAATTTCAAAATTGTGGGGTAAATCTATGACATGCCTTCTTGCGTGCTTTGCGTACAGAATGAAGCCTTTAGCATCATCGTGTGCAGCTGCAACGGCTTGCCCAACTGGCGGCGGAACTGACATCCTGCAAACTGCAAATTTATCTTGAGCAATCCTAGGCTGGAACTTTTCAATGATTCCAAACACCGCCCCAAGCACGGGTATATTGCTGTTATATACGCGCAGAACATATTTCGATGTTGTAGATTGTTTGTATTTTTGTTTTGCCGGGTACTTATTTAAGTCGTTATTCCTAATTAAAGCTGCATTTCTTATCTAATTTTGTTGGACAATACAGCATTGAAGTATTAACAAATCCATTGCTGTGTGGAAATTTGAAAATTTACCTATACACTAAACTATTGGGGGGAGGGAATTCAGGTGACAATCAGAGTCTTATTCTTTTAAATAAATTTTAGAATTGGATGTTATTTGTCAATGAGTTTTTAAAATATGACACTCAAATGTGGATTTTAGAGAAGTTAGAATGTATTGAATCATTGAACTTGATAATCAAGTGACAATTTAATCCATTAATTCTTTTCAATTAGTTTACATGACCTTAGCTAGAAAATCTACTTCCACATATATAGATTTTACATATAATATTTTGCCAACAAATACATTTTTACGGGCACAAACACATTTACTTTTGCCCTAGCATTCATGTCACTTTTCCCTTTATTGTTTATAAGAGAAATATTTTGTAGTGTCATTATTTTATCTTAAGCTCTTGAATTAGTAACTTGTACATTACCTTCTTGAATCCACTTTAGTTACACTTAGGGTCTGTTTGATAATATAAAAAAGTGCTGAATCTGAATTTTTTCAGACATTCAGATGTTTTGAGTGTTTGATAAATGAAAATTCGTTTGAGGAAAAAAAAGATAAATAAAAATTCATTTGCTGAACTTGTTAAGTAGTGTTGAACTTGTATGTATTTTTTTCAGCACAAAAATTCTAACTGAATGCTTAATTCTGATAAGAATTAATAGACTTACTTCAATTACTTTATCTTATCTACCAAATTTACCCTTGTTTGTTAATTATGTTCAAACTTCTTATCTAATTAAACAATCTAATATTCTCTATCTAATGATTTTCTATTTTTTTTCTCCCTTTTGAATGATTTCCACATCTTCTCCATACTCCTCATATAATATATTTCATCTTTTATATTAATTTGATTCAAAAATAAATATTGTCATTTTCACACCTAACATTTTTAGCTAATTAAATTATAGGTTCTATTTCTTTTTTGGATGAAAAGATATAAGGGTAAATTTATCAAATTTAACTTATTAAGCATTTAGTTATAAAATATTTATCAAATAGTATAAATAGGTTTAACATTAAAATTCAGACATTCATATATTTCTTTTCTGTGTTTAAAATTCAGCAAATTAATTATTTCAATATTCAGATTTCAGAATTCAGACTTCAGAATTCAGATTCAGTTTTATCAAATGGAACCTTAGCCCCTAACCTATGTTTTTAAATTTGGACCGGACTGACCGTGCTGACCAATCGAATCGGGAACCAGCCAACCATCCAATTTGACTCTCTTTAATAAACAGCTAATTAAAGACACGGTCAAAGATCGGATTTAACCAGAAACCAATAAAACCGGTTAAAATCAGGTTTTTCCAAATTTTCCATTCTTTATTTTTTGAATAACAACCACCACCAAATAGCAAAGTAGAATCAAGTCAATAAGAAAGCATCGTGCTTTTGTCAGGATCTCATGCAACATTCTTTATACTAAATTGAGGAAATTTTTCTTAAAAAGGTCGTGTAACTTCAAAACATCCAATCTGTAAAAAAAAAAAAAAAAAGAAAAAGAAAAAAAGAAACCTGACTCACTACCATCCTGATGGCTTCTTCTTCTTCTTCCCTTTTTCCAAACTCCTTTGATCTTTGAATAGCACCAAGAATAAGTGTTGAACGAAATTAGAAATTCAAATTAGGAGAAAATTTTCATTCTCTAAATTCATTAAACCCCATTTCATGCAACTAAGTTTTCAAAGATTTGAAATCAAATTGGAGAAAAAAAAAAAAGGAAAAGAGCAAATAAGGGAAGAGAACAGATAAGAGGGAAAACGGAAAATAATGAAGAAAAAGAGAGTTTTCATGTGTGTTTGATGTGTTTCGTTTGTGTGGGATAAAATAAAAGGAGAGAACTACTGACCTTATGGTGAAGAGAGAAGAAGGAACAAAAAAGAAGAAACAAAGACAAGATGAAAAGGAAAGGAAGAAGGAAGAGGCGGCTGCTGACAAAAAGGAAGCATTACGTTTAGCAGTTAATAGCTTTAGATGCTCTCAAATGTTTTTATAGGTTCATTTTGACCCCATATTGTTTTAGTAAAGTATAAAATCAACTTATTATATTTTTTAAATTACACTTTTTACCTATAACTTTTAAATTTTTTAAGTGGAATCCTTTTGGGTTAAATCTAAATTCATCAAATATGTATGTAAAGTTATAAACCATCAATTTCAAGAAAATTTTTATATATTATATTGATTATATATTATTTATATATATTTATGATGTATTTATGATGTCATCCGATTTGACCTCCAGGTTAACCTCCATCGACCCCTGATCCCCAAGATTTGTCTAGTCACTACCCAATTCGAGTTTTAAAACATAGCGCCTAATCAATATAATAGGCATTTTGACCAGGTAAAAATTTCTTTGAATACATATAAAAAACAAAAAGGACATCGACACTTTTAGACATGAGATTTGTGAAATAAAACTACTCCCTTATTTCATTTTTAATGTCTTTATATACTCATCTGAATTTTATTTTATTTTATATTATTTTTGGTTTGAGTGGATTAGAGTATTGCAAAGATCATTCTATTTTCCTTAATCAAACTATACATCAACAATGTTGGTTTCTAGAACTAAGTTCCAATGAAAGGAAAGGAACGTTCCCAAAACCCAATTTAGTTAGTAGAGATATTAGATAAGTGATCATTAAATTGATCATTAAATCCCTAATTCGACTCTTAACTTCTCCTCTTTTCTTTTTTCATTTTGTAGACTTGAAGTCCTCGATGATTATGAAAAAAAAAATTTAAAAGAAAAAATTAATGGGATACTTTCCAGTCCATGGCCCATATATAGGCACCCTGCTGCTCCCTCTCCGCTCCCCATCCATTTCAGCCTATGATTGCTTCGCGGCTCCTTGCTTCCCTATTCGACTTATCTTCCAGTCTGAACTACTTTTGCTGTGTCTAAGTCTCGCGGCTTCGGATACTCTGTCCAGTTTTCTGTGTCTAGGTCCCCGTCTAAGTACGATTTCATTTCTTATCAAACAACTGATAATGAAGCCCTCAAAGTATGCTACAAAGCTTTTCTACTTCAGAATCGGTGATTATACGATACCATAAAGAACACTTTCACCATTGCTCTATAATTGCTGGTCTAAGATAAATCAAGGAGCAAAAGAAGTGAATTAGAAGCCATCATCAACCAGTCTCGACTTATTCTACGGTGGGGATTCTCGTAGAATCAAACAGAAATCAATCCCACAACAAAAGAAAGCCAACATCTATATACCTTCACACCATATATTTTGATCTTTCCTCTCTACGATCCCCACTTTACACCCTACAATCTCCTACGTACTCGTTTGACTGGTCTCTCAACACTTACAGCTTTAATTACCAAACAAATTTTCAACCAAAAAACAATTGATTAGATGGAGAAACTTTTGTTTACCATTGAAGAAAGAGATTGCAAATTTGCCTCAATGGAAACGATCGATTTGCACTCCTTATCCATCCCGATCAGAGCACTACACTGACAAAAAGAAATTGAAACAATTGCTGTTCCACTTTACCGTCTCCTTAATTTCTGGATTTGAAGGCTTTGAGCTTTACCAATTTCCACCATAAGAAGGTAAGTATACGTACATGAACTGGACTGAGTACAGTCAGCGGTTCAACTGCAAATAGGACTGAGTACAGATCTGGCTGCTAGTAACAGGACTCAATCTAAACTGCTCCTTTCAAATTTCAGTATTTTCTTTTTATTTTGTAAGATAAATTTGAACAACTACTGATTAAGTCGATGCTACTATTAGATTTGTGACTACAATTAGAGTCCCGAATCCCTCATAATTGCTTAACCAGCAATCTGAGGAACGGTAGACCAAGAAGACAGGCAGTTGACTCCACAGCTAAAGATAATTAAAAGCTCCCAGCTGGAGTTGAAGCTACAATATATGAGATCTTTTAAAGTGCTAATTATACCCTTTGCTACGGAATCAAAGAATCAAGCAACAGTATTTGGAAAGATAGAAGGAAAAATTGCTAAGCTGAATCTCAAAAAGCTTGCACACACACCTGGACTTGAAGCAAATTGCCGGACTATTGTGCTGAACCAATGTTGCGCAGCAGATTGCTCACCGAGGATTCCAAACCAAAATCCTTTGCAGAAAACTGCTAAGCGGCTAAGAGTAGACTTGGTGAAATGATTTGAGTCTCGGAGTCAACGCTCTCAGGCTAGAGAGATTAAGGTCCATCATCGGCAATTCTGATTTAAAAAAGATTAGTGCTGCACAGGTTGGCTAGTGACTTATTTGCTATTTTTTATTTGCATACATCATTTAACATATATTTTTTATTTTATATACATCACATAAAAAAAATACTTTAATTTTTTAAAAAAAAAAATTATCTCAAATAATCTACTAGCCAAACACAATGTTTTCATTCCTTTGGTGGACATATCATCTACTACAAGTATTTTGGCTTTCCCCCCTAATTGAGGATCACTTGTCTCCAAATCGATATTGGATAGAGGGTAGTAGGAGGTTTGGAGAAGGGAGGGAAAAAAAAACCTGTGCAATAAACAGTAATGTTTCATTTCATTTCTGTAATTGATTTTATTTTGTAGTAGTCAACAAGTGGACACTGATGATTTCAGAATTGAATTTGTTTCAAATTTTCAAATCTCAAAATGTCAAATTTTACCAATCTCAATATGTCGAGTGCTTTTCTTCGGGCTTATTATTTGTAAGATTGAACTATAGTATTATTGAATTCGTTAAGTCTATAAATTATAGTTCACCATAGGCAACTTGGAAATAACACAAGGGTTAACTACTTTTCTCAAAATAATCTTTCGTTTAAAATAAAAACCACGACAGTACTTTTGATTATGTTTCCAATATAATGTCATTTTCACCGATGTAAAACTGTTAATTTCCTGGTTTGCACTATAGTCCCTAACATTATTGTTTTTGCCACTTTATCCCTTCCTTTTATGCACGTTTATTGCTACTGCCAAATCAAATGGTTTACTTATATTGAAACCCCTTAAAAGGTATTGCAAAACTTCCCAAAAGTAAGGACATTTCACTTTAATTTCTAGCTTTAAGTTTGTGCACTTTTCATAAAGTAATGAAGATAATTATGTTGCCGAAGCAATTGAAATGATAAAGATATTTATAGCACTGTCGTGGTTTTTATTTTCTTTTGTACTTGTGTTGTTAAAACCATATAAAAGAAAAACATGTCCTTATGCATCAATACTTTTTATTGTTTTCTTCTTTCAATACCTTATCAAAGGAAAGAAAATCACATCAGACATGTTGAGAGTTTATTTTAAATGAAGGAGACCCCTAGCTACTTATTATTTATCCATCTTTCCCTTTTTTTATTTTATTTTCTTTTTTTTCCTTTGTTTCTATATATCTTCATCGTTGATCTTTCTTCTTTCTCCTTTTTTTTTTTTTTTTTCAAATTTCTGACATAGTCATCACTTCAATGCTACACGTTAATAACTTCACAAATACAAACTTAAATTCAAACTTAAATAGCTTAAATGTGTTCGTGATAGTAACTTGTCAAAAATAGAAATTAGTTATTTCACTATGTTTATTGAATCCCAGAAAATTGAAGAATGTATAAACTTTGAGAACATAATGTTGCTTTTGGAGTATACTTTGCCTTTTAACAATATTGATACCAGCGTTGTCTTTTATGGTCTATCCAAGGTATTAAATGCCACAAAAATTATTTCAGAAAATAACCTTTTTTTCGGGTAGAAAAAGAAAAATTACACGAACATTTACCGAAAAAAAAAAACATAAAGCCAAATTTGCGTACAAACTTCAAAACATAATCAAAGATGCCTTTTCATGACTAAATTAACCTGACATGAAAGAAACCTTCCTACCTCTTCTACAATCTTCTGAGCTTTCGCGCATAATCTTTCTTCAGTAGAAAGAGGAGATTTTCTTACACCACAACAATCAACAGTCTGCCCACATCCATCCTGTCCTTGGGCGTGCTCCATTCATATTTGGGCTAAAATAATTACATGCATTTGTTACTTCCGGCTTTGAATTGATGGCATGTTTCAGGTTATTGTTGATTAGCATGTACACAAAGCTTTGGTGATCGTAAAAACAAGCATGGCTAATTGAATGACTTGTGACTTAATTCGATGCAGAAGTCCACCATGCAGTGGCAGACCCAAGATGCCAAGTTTTTCTAAATAAGCCTGTAACTGATATGTCCTGCACCATAACGTGTAGTGGTATTTAAGCCCTTGTTTGGCTTGTGATTTTATGCAGAAAAATTTTCACATTTTCAGTAAATATTATTTCTACATAAATTTTAATCACTTTTTTATCTCACATATATCATATTAAAGATGTCAACTATAACCCAGCTATATTGATCCAACTAAACTCTCCCACAAATAAGTAAATTTGGGTATGCAATGAATTTTGAATGGGTCTAAATGGGTACCCAATTAAACAGCTTTAATTGATAGCTAGTGAGTTGAATCGACTCATCTATTTATACCCATTTAAAAATAATTACACATTTAAACTCAATTTTTAATGAATATTAAGCAGATAAATTTTAATTTGCTACTAATTGAATAACAATAAAATGTCATTGTTTCTCATCAAACAACATGCAAAAAAAATTTTAAAAATTTCAAGTGAGTCATAAATGAGTACTTGGGCATACCTACACCAATTTATTAAATGGGTATAAATGAGTTGATTTAATTATACTCATTATCTAATTATGACCCATTAAACTCATCAATTTTGACACCTCTACATCATATCTTATAAAAGTGTTATAATAATTTTTCTTCAAAAAATACAATCCAAACGGGCTAATTTTCAATAACTGTTGTACCAGAAACAAACCTTCAGAAATCAACCTTTTTTTGTATGCGCTGTGAAAGGGTCACTTTTTAGATTTTACGTTGACAGTGCAAAATATTTTAAGAAGGATACAATTTAGTGAGTCATAATTAATGTTTAAATATTTTTGTTATTCCCCTTGATATACGCTTTAAAAAATAAATATATCAGACTCTATATTAAAATCATAAAATTTTGGAAAAGGGATATTAAGAATAAAATATCTTGCAAAATATGTCATGTCACTACCTTCTTTTTAAAAGAAATAAAATTTTGGAGAAAAGAGTTTTTATGTTTCCAAGTGGTAAAATCATTCGTTTAGTGGATATAGAAAAAAGAAGTAGTGATTAACTGATTGATTAGTCGGTGATTTACCTAAATGATGAATTTATGAAAACCACTATTGTTCAACTTATTTTAATGTATATTTATTTAGTCTGTACTGAAATAAAGTAAATTGTTCTTGATCAAAATGATGATAAGCGCACTAATATTGGGTTAAAGGTCCAACGTCTATTTATGTTTGGGTAGATAAAACAAGTCATAATAACCCATTTTGGGCAGCCCATTTAGGTGACTGGCTTTTGGATAGCAAATACACCATCGAAAGACGGGAACTTGCGGAGTGTTTGTTTAAGCCCATAGAATCTAAACTAGTTGGTTGTGCCCTACTCTTCGTGCAGGTTACCCATGATTTGTATATAATTAATTTTAGTTTTTTTTTTTTTGGCATTTGCTTTGGGCTAATAAGTGTGAAGTATGGAAATGAGTTAAATAATATTAAAATTTACCAAAATCAATCATCAATTTAAAAAAATAAGCTAGTCTATGAAAAATTTAAGTGCTAATGAAATTTTGTATTTAAAATAATAGAAACGCCATCGTCATCAATAAATGTATGCAAGGAAAAAAATAAAGAATAAAAATATCGAACATTTCTATAGCCCATTGTTATACAAAAGTAGATAGGTATATATGTATACAAAGCGCATACAAATAGAAAAACAAAACATTTCCCTGCTTTCAATTTTGATTCCATGCAAAATAATAGATTTTCTCATGTTATATTCCATAAAAAGGTTAAATAGGTTTTTTATTTGTTTTTTCTATTGAATATCTTCTTACTTCTTAATTATAAATAGAAGATGATATGTAGAGCCCAGCAGGGTAAGAAAATATACAAAATGATATGTAAAAGCATAGCAAAGAATTGTAAATAAAGCTCAAAAATAAATTTACAAGAGCAAAATGGAAACAGAAAGCAAGTAATTATTAATGAAATATAAGATTTTGTTGTGATAGAAGTAGTGATATTAGAGACATGAACGTAGAAATATTAATCATCATAAAAAGGGAAATTAGTCAACCAGAGGTAATTGTAATCAATCATATTTATTACAAAAGGTATCTCTCATTTTTAATCATATTCATCAATATAAAATGGAAACCAAAAAATAAACATAGGGTATACAAAAATAGCAAGAGGAAACCTATACAAATAGCCCAAAAAAATGCAGACCAATATCTGTGCAAGACTTATAATGCGTACAACAATTGGGACAAAAATTGAACGGACAGTAAAACCTCTGCTTTTAAACTCAGATTGAACCAGTTGATCCGACCGATCGAACTAAAAATCGATCAATTATTCGATCCGAATTAACTTTAAAAATCGAGAAATTAAAACCGGGGTTTTAACCAACTCCCCATTAGAGGAGTTGGCCACCACTGTATGTAGTGGGGTGGGAGGTCAAGGGTTCAAACCTTGCCTCCCATCATTGTGCCTCAATATGAGGAGTGTTCTAAATTCATGCGGGTGAGTGATGCACCCGTCTGGTCTGATGGTGGTTCAGTTCCCGTCAGGTTCCCCCGACTCTATAGGCCCACTCTCTAGAGTCGCTTTCCTTAGATAGTAAGTCCCCCCCTCTTAGGAGTAGGAGTAGGATAGGTTAGACTAGATGTGTCGCTACGCAAAAAAAAAAAAAAAAAAAACCGGGATTTGACAGGAAAAAAATAAGAACCGGGATCCCACCATGCATCTCAGATCTAACACAAGGAAAGGAAAGAGAGGGACCCGTATCTCCTTGGCTCCGTGCCCAGCCAAAATCCCAAAACGCAACACACGATTTTCGTAGTGGGACATGCTTGCACAGTTGATTACTGCTGCACTGCTGCTACATCCCTGGCCACAATTCGCTCGCACGTGTTCATACAACATCCATATCTTCGTGCTGCCCCCTCTCCATGGCATGCATGTACATAGACTCTCTTTTTTTTTTTACTTTTTGTTGAAAGGTTAAAATATTTTTAATATTATATTTTGATCTCTAGGTTATTAAAAATTATTAATATATCACAAATATTTCATACTTTATAAATATTGTCTTAAAATTTGGTATAATTTTTTAATTAAATCAATAATTTTAATTCTAAACTTGTTAATACTCATTAAATAACATAAATTGCTATTAGATTGTTCTAATTTCTTTATATTTTCTTGTTAAATATATTTGAAACATCAAATATATATGAATATACTTTTATTAATATTAACATGTTATTAGGTATTTTACATATAATATTTTAATTTTTAAATAATTTTTATTTATGATATCATCTAATTCAACCCCGATCGAATCCAGTTAAATCCATTAATCCCTGAGCTCGAACGAGCCGGTACTCGGTCCGATTATGAAAACATAGGGTAAAACCCACAGGATACCCCAACAATTGCCAAAGAGGCGACAAAAAATGCAACAAAAGCATTGGATAAAACTGAAATAAATGGTCCCTCAATGGGTTATTATACAATGAGAACCAAAGACCAAAGGAAGAAAGGACAAAACGAAAAAGTCAAAGAAGAAAGAGTTTAGAAGCAATACAACTGACCCACAAAGGAACCCATATAATTTGATAAAACCACAAAAAAAAAACAGCAAAACATGTGGAAGGGATGACACTTCTACTGTTCATAATGCCTTTGGCTCTTTTACACAGTAGAGATTTTGAATATGAATCAAACTCTGCCCTCGTAAATCAAGAGACATTGAATTTGTTTGGACAAGCCAAATTTGGTTTGCAAAATTTGTTTTCACAAATTCCAATCACCTTTTTATCTTTCCAATCACCTTTTTATCTCACATACATCACATCACAAAAAGTGCTACAGTAAATATCTCAAATAAATCATCCAAATAAACTCTTATCCAAACAAACTCAATTAGATTCTCAATATTTGAAAGATACTTTTGAACTAACTCAAGAGCTCTCTTAAATCATCGAACTCAAGTTTAAATGAAAACAAGTTGATTTCAAGCTCAAGTCAAATCCAAATCTCCACGTTTGCACTGAAGGCTTGAAACTTAAGTATTCATATTTTCCAAAAAAAAAAAATGGTCATAAGATCAATGTTCTTCGCATGCCGAAATTGTAAATACACCTTTTTTAATTGAAGAATAAGCCCCTTGGCCGTTCGGTGAAAATCATTTGAAGAGAACAATCAAAGGACTATTTTCTTTTAATAAGAAAATTATTCAGATATTGTAACTCTTTGTTCTTAAACTAATAAATTTAATATTTATGGAAATTTTCTTAAGTTGTAGTTTCACACTCAAAATTAATGCATATGAAATTTTTGGCAGACCCACTAGGAGGATATTTGCCTCTCATCTCTTCTTTTCATACACAATTTCTGCCTCTCATCTCTTCTTTTCATACACATATAGGCCATCGCTTCGGCCTCCGCCTCCGCATCCGCACCGTATTCTTCAGTCATGGATTTTGAAAATTATTACGAAATTTCCCTCGTCGCCGACTTCATTATCGCCCATAACTTCTCCAGAGTCGCCTTACAGGTTTATTAACAATAAAAATGGTAAAAAAACTAATAAATAATTCCTAAAATTATTAATTGAGATTTTATATATTTATTTTATTTGTAGTTTCCAGATGAGCTCCTGAAAGATTCAAGGAAAGTCGTGAGTGCTCTCCGGCAAGAGCTCCACCGGCCTCTTCAGAATTCCGACGAGTCACGTGCAACCGCTAAGTTGTACGTGATGGCCGACACCACCTACGGCAGCTGCTGCGTGGACGAGGTCGGAGCTGCTCATGTGAAAGCTGATTGCATTATTCATTACGGCCACAGTTGCCTCAGCCCGTGAGTTTGTTTATTATGTGTTTAATAGTAACTATGTTCGTAATTTTGATTAAGGAGCTGTTTAGTGTTAATTAATTTGGTTTAGTTTGAGGAAATGGTCGGAAGGGTACAACCTTTAGTGTATGAGGTACTAATTAATTTGAAGATAGTGCATTAAGGGTTATTGTTACTTGTTATTGCTGCTTTTGAAAGTTTTGGAAATTTGGCCTTTTCGGTTTTGGAGTTGGTTGCTACATGAACTAGTAGAATTTGGTAAAAGTGTACTCTCTGTATTTTTTTTTTCTTTTGGTTTTTTGAAGTTGTAGGGAGTCAATTGGTCCTAGCTTCCATGGTGAAACGCTCTTATTGCTTCTTTCGCATGTATTATGTTGTTGAATGTGAAGAAACAGGCCTCAACCAGTGCTGAAATGGAAGTCGGGGAGTATCTTGGTGTGTCAGTTTGTCTGTTAACGTGCATTTGAACAGTAAATGTTACACATTATGTCTTGTAGTATTTACCTCCTTTTTTTCCTTGGTCCCAATTACTCTCAGGCTTAAAAATGGAGCAATCACATTTGCAAATGTGTTGGAAACTTGCTTTTTGATGAACCCTTGAGGCCTCATTTCCATTTTTTTTTTTGCAATTTATGTACCTATAGATTTATTTCAAGTACAGAATATCCCAAGTGGTTCCTGATTCTTTGAGGCTGCTATGTACTTGATTCAAGGAAACAAGTATCAATGATGATGCATACATACTGTCATGTATAAGTTTGAACATGTTTTGGTATCAAGTTTTCTGGTTTTAAATTGCCTTGTTGAGTTTGCAAGTAGAAAATTTGGTGGGAAACAAAATTTTTCTTCCATTTGTTTCTAATTTTTGGGTTTCTATAATATGTTTTGGCAGGACAACCACAATTCCAGCTTTTTGTGTTTTCGGCAAGGCTCCTCTTAAGGCATCTAACTGTGCTGAAAGTTTATACAATTATGGCGTAAAAAGTGGCAAGCCTGTTCTGGTAAGTTGGAAAGTACTGCATATACTATCATGTGGTTGTTTTTGCCTTTTTTTACACAAATTTTTGTTTGCAATTTTCTCACTCCAGGGCTCTAGGTGATAGTTTTATTTTGGCTTGTAACACATATTGTCTAAGTTACATAATTGCTGACTTGAATATCGCTGATATTGCAGGTTCTTTTTGGGTTAGAATATGCTCATGGAATGCCGGATATAAAAGAGGCACTAAATGTTGAAGCAATGAGGTTTCATGACTCCAACTCAGGATTTCAGATACATTTTGCTAATGTTACTAATTCAGTTATAACTCCATCCGCATCTATGAAATTGGAAAATCGACATTTAATGTTGAATGGCGAGCAGGATAACAATGAAGATTCTTCTCAGAAGACTGATACAAAATTTAGACTAGGTGGTTTGGGTTGGAGTTTACCTGAGGGACACAGGACGGAGGATTATTTGCTGTTCTGGATTGGTTTAGACAACTCGGCTTTCTCAAACTTCATATTAACATTTAATAGTTGTGAAATAGGTAAGTGAGGGGTGCAATTTTTGGCATTGCCATTCTCTTCTGTGTTGCTCGTTGTCTTAGTTTTGTTATAAGCATGAAGCTCGCCAATTCAAATTGGTTTGACATTGTCAATTGATTTTCCTTGTTTTGTTCTTTTCAGCTACCCGCTTTTGCTTTCTCATGCTCTTTCACTTGGCTATGCAATAATGTTTGTTGATTTCTCACCTGTTGTTTCTAGTCAGATATGATGCAATTGAAGGTTGCTTGAAGACTGATGTATCTCAGCAGGCAAAAATTCTTAAGCGCAGGTATTATACTTGTCAAGCACATAATGATGCTAATTTATTTCAGCAAATTAGTAACTTTTATATATAAGATGTGATATGCATTGACGTATTAAAATCATTCTTTTGTCCCATGTGCAACCAACTGCATGAATAATTAGGTATTATCTAGTTGAAAAAGCGAAGGATGCAAACATGGTTGGGATCTTGGTTGGAACTCTTGGAGTTGGTAAGTTCTTGTGCAACAGTTTTATTAATATGCACTTGCCCTCTTCCATCACGAATCAATGCTTTTCTGACTTTTGCCGTAGTTAGACTTTTTTGTTCTAAATATGTAGAATTATAATTCATATGCAATAGTGTTATCTGCTCTGAGTAAAGACCACAAATGTTGCTCCGTAATTCATATTGAAAGCCAATTTGGTCTTATGCATTTGCAAATCAATTGAAATCTTCTGAAAATTAGTAGTTTATTGAACATTTGCTGAGCTTATGGTTAGATAATAAATATTCTCTTCAGGCTTGATAGAATGTATTGCCAATGCACATCATTTTGTTTGACCTTTTTAGTTTGTCGTCATGTTTAAGATACAGACTGAAGTTTTTCTGGTAAAATTATTGATGCAGCTGGTTATCTAGATATGATTCATCAAATGACAGAACTCGTGACTAGAGCTGGGAAAAAGGCATATACCTTTCTTATGGGAAAGCCAAATCCTGCAAAATTAGCTAATTTTCCTGAGGTAAACATTGTTTCTGTGGACAGATTTTCTTTACAACTTTTAACTTTTGAGAATTTTTCAAATCTCTGGTGCATATGCAGTGTGATGTTTTCATCTATGTATCCTGCGCTCAAACGGCTCTTTTGGATAGCAAGGAGTTTTTAGCTCCTATAATCACTCCTTTTGAAGCTTTGATAGCTTTCAACAGGTAAATACCATTTTAACTATGAGTGTAAAGTTTTTTATGTGGTTGAAATTTGTGGATGGTCTATAATTTCCTGATTGTACCTAAAGCACATCTAAGTGGATATCTTATATAAATTGCATGGCATTATCAATTTCGTTTGATGACTATTCACTAATGGGTGGTTTTGCATTTCATGGAAATAATGCAGGTTGCAGAAATGGATTTTGTCTTTATACTTTTTTTTTTATTACATTTTCTTTTCCTGAGCAATTAGGAATTGTGCTGCATGTTAGAGGTTCAACAACTTTGCTGGAATAAATTCATGCAGGGATCAATAGTGATTATAGGCTTCATTTTAATTCCTTTAGTGGTATACTGTTATAATCAGTAGTACTATGCAATTTGATGTCCAAGAGGTATGCAAGGTAGCTAAATAAATGAAGGGAAGTCATTTTTCGAAAACTGTGTGTGATATTACTCCTCTATCAGAATAATAATAGTGTCTAACCTCTTCTGAGGTTCGGAAATTAGTTATCAGGAAAATTTTGAACTAGCTTTAAGTTTTACATTGATTTCTGGTTGCACAAAGTGTCCATGTTGTGTAAAAGATTTGGTAAAGTTCTTTTTGCAGTGATAAAGTACCTGGTAATGTCCTGATAAAAGTGTTTATATTAAAAAGATTTTTGGCTAATGGTAACTCTACCTGAAGCTCAAACTTGGAGCTTTTCAAAAGTGCCTTGCTTTTACTTAGAAGCAATTGGACTCCCTTAGACCTACTTAGAAGTTCAGATGTGTTTGGTTCACATGCATTGAAGATTTTATGGTTCTAATGCTGCTTTTGTTATCTATGCTTACCTTGCTACATTTCATCAGCCTAGTTTTGGTTCTAATGCTGCTTTTATTACCCACATTATTCATGAATCTTCAAGTTTCTAATGTTATTGTCATGGATATTGTTGAGCTTTGCAATTATCTATTTTCAGATATTGAGTTTGGGGCTATAAGATCATCAAGTTTCATTTCTCTGTTACAATATATGCTGAAAGGCAATATTGAATTGAATTAGCTTTGTCATAGGAGCAGAAAACCTGAAAAATAACTAGTAGTACTTTGTAAGAGGAATACACGTAAACCTGTTGATGAAATGTGGTAGTATTTTTCAGATCCTTGATTGGTTGATCTATAACCTCTTTGCAAGCTAGAGTTCCCTTGTGTTTCTATTTTAGTCCTTGTCTCTTGCCATCCACTTTGTCTTTTTTTTTTTTCCTCTTCTTAAGTTTAGATTATTCAGTGCCTGAACTGTGAATATTGTATCGACTCATCTTAATTCTGTCCTCATTTGTCTGCAGACGTTGTTAAGATTATATGTTGATTCACATTCAGTTGTCATGGTTTTGATACACTGCTATATGATTCGAAGTTTATTTAATTTTTGAATAAAGTAAATTTATCCAGACCTCAGGGCAGGAGATAGTAATAGATCATTCGGCTGAGGTCTGGAAGTCTTCCTTTACACTCTAAATAGTCCTGCTGTAAGTAAATCAAATGCCTTTTTGGTATTGGATTTGGTGATTATTCGAGCCTAGACTCTACCAATTCGACAGGCTTGGGAATTGATAATGATAATATTATCCTTTGAACTTGTTATAAATACTAGATGATCAATTCTTGTTAAACCGCTATTGCAGGGGCAGTCAGTGGACCGGAGCTTACTCAATGGAATTTCAGGATGTGATTGCTTCCCAGCCTGCCGAAGTAGAAGATGAGACAGAATCACGTTTTTCTTTCTTTCAGGGTGGATATGTTGAAGATTTTAAATTGCAAGGTATCTTCCGTTATCTTGAGGTCTCAAAAAATCTCCTTTAAAAACATTGGAACCAGGTATTTGTTTTAGGCTATAGAGCTCTTCTAAATCTTAAACAATGACAAGTGAGGCAATTTCTTGTTCAGCTGACCTTATGACCTTATGTGCACCATTATATAGAATTTATGCAACTTCATTAGCTCTGAGCTCATTGAATATTCTACTGGTACCAATCAGAGGAATTAGCCCTCTTGGTGAAGCTAGACAACCAAATAAGAATTTGATTTACTTGTATTGCAATTCCAATTTAGAGAATAGGTGTCTCTCTTTCTTGCATAGTTCCATGATATAATATTTGCACTGATGAACCCAGTTTTATCCCCATTCTAGGGTGGTGTTCAAGACATCTTTTGAGGCTCATTTAATTAACAATAAAAACAAGGTCCTTGTGTTTTGCATGGATGCTTGATGGGAGATGACACAGAATTAAGGCTTGTGTTATCATATAGGTCACATAAGCCAATTGGTGAACTACCTAAAGTCTTTAAGGCTATGCTTCTATTCCATGCTTGTGTGTTGATAGTTATTGATGATGTACTTGAGTAATCATCAATGTGCTTGCGATGTTCTGTGTGTATATATATGTATACACACAAACATATATAATTCTCTTTGTCGTCATGTTTGCTTTTTTGTTTCCTGTTCAGCATTGTTTTTTAAATCTCATCATTCATGATGGGTTATTTTCTAAAGTATACGATTTGGATTGAATTAGTCTATTAGCCCTCTTTGTGTGACTGTTCATAACTTAAAGTCATGTAATGGTTCATAATATGATAAGTCATTCCTATAAAGTTGAGCTGATATGTTTATTCTGGAAACCAGATTTTTTTTTTCCTCATTTGATCCGTTAATGGACAAATGTAGCTTTATTCTGTTGACTGTTAATTTGAAATGTCTCGCTTCTTTCTTGGCTGTGCTCATTTAATGGTCCCTTTGAATTTTTGGTCCTATCAGAGGGGAAGGAGGAAAAGGATGCAGTTCTTTCCCTGGTAAATGTCACAGAGAAGGCTTTGCTGCTGCAGAACAAGGAGACTGAGCTGTTATCAAGAAGAGATGCCAAATCTGGAGCTGAGTTTTTTGCAGCTCGATCATATCAAGGTCTTGAAATCCATAGCAGTGACTCTTTTCCAGAGCCGTTTTTAATCGGTAGAACAGGGAAGGCATCTGGATATGAGGATGAACAAATAAGCTAGATCGTTTGGGGAAACATTTGCAATAGAAAGCCAGCACAGAAATACAGCGAAATCTGTGTAATGTTGGGACAGTAGACATAAAGCAGAATTCCGATTAGTTCTTTCATTGAAACCAATTGGGGATGTTTTGGCAGAACGCAGTAGCTGTGCAGCAGCTTTGGCACACATAGAAGTGTTTGTGGCTAAATTTGGGAATCTCTGGCTATTATTGCTACTGTGGTGCTGCCATTTTTGCCTTGCAGTGGCATGGTTAATTTTAATCTAGCCTTGGGAAGAGCTTCTTGCAGCTGTTACTCATTTCGTGGTATAATTCCATCCCTATTTGGTTAAACAGAAGGGGTTGACTTTCCTGAGTTCCACCAGTTGGGTCGTCTCTGCATTGTTGTCCTCTTTGAACTGGATCAGATTCCATTTATGTCTTGTATTAGTCAGGCATATTCATAGGATAGGAGAGAGCATATTTTTAAGTTGTTGTAGCGTTTCATTGGCATAACTTAGAAACTTGTTCTTACATTCCTTCCCTTATAACGCAAGTTCTTGTAAATATGGCTAGTAGCAATGAAATAGTTACGTATTGTTGATTTTTTTTGAAGTTACGTACTGTTGATTGATATAGGTTTCTTTATGCTTGCATTGAGCTTGGTTATTTTTGTTGAGTAGGGATATTTGCATAAATTTATTTATTTACATTATAAATATATTTTTAAATAATTTTTTTATTTTATATATATCACACGAAAAAATTGCTATAGTATTATTTTTTAAAAAGTAATTTCAAATAATTTATTATCCAAACACCTCCGCTGCTGTCAGCCCGGCAGCAAGCAACATTAAAAAAAAAAAAAAAAATTCTCACATTTGTAAGCAAGGGAAGGAAATTACGTATCAAATAATATTTGTGCATTTTTTTCTCATCCATAATCTAAGCTAAGGAATTAGCCAGACTATCTAGTACTAAACATAGACACAATTTATTTTATCAAAATTGACAGACCACTTCATAGTAAAAAACTTGATTTTGAGTATTTGAAAAGAAAAGAAATTCCCCAATGTCACCAAGTGCTTCAAAATTTTCCTCATGAATTTCTTATCCAGAAAGCCCATTTCAATAGAAAACCTTCAACCTCAGTACCGTCACCCAAAATAATAACAATAACAATAACAATAATAATAACAATAACAAAAGTAATCATCGTAATTTCAAAGTGGGATTACCAGCCGCCTCTTATAACAGCCACTGCCGGCGCTCTTTCTTCTGAGTTACTGCGACCCTTTCCCAGGAAGAGGCCTCCGTCGCCGGTAAAACCCCTCTAGCAAAATTTCATTGTTTTCTTTGTTTCCTTCTCAAGTTCATATGGTTTGTTTGTGTGGTCCGAGAAAAACGACTTTTTTTTTCTTGTAAAGTAGAGAACTGAAGTGAATGATAGCTGCTGGATAACTATCTCTATTGGGTTTTTTTCCTTCTCTCTGGTAACAGAAGCAGAGTAGTGTGAAACTGGGTTCTCTTTGTAATTGTTTATGCCAAAATTTTCATTGGGTTTATTCTTTTTCTTTTGTATTTTGTTTCATTGGATTTTTTTTTTCGGTATTGTATATTGGTAGTGGAATTTAGGAAGTTATATACTGCAAAAATTGTCCTTTAGATTACGGGGGTTGTTTTTTTCAATGTGATTAGTTCTGTATTTGTAGGAAATGTCCAAAGGTCATGCCTTAGTGGGCCTGGTTTGTAGGAAATGTACACAAAACAGGGGGGAAAGAGCAAAAACAGAAAGGAAATTGTCTTGTGATTTCGTTTGGATTTTTATGATTTTTGTTTTCCTTAATGGATTTCTTCTAAGTTTCATGTATTTCACAAGCAATTTATGAATTTTTTTTTTTATATCTGCTGGGCTTTTTATGGTGTTGACAACTTGTAGGGCCCTTCTTGTTATATGCTGTTAACTATCTTCTTATTATTATTTTTTTTTTGTGTCTGAATCTGGATTTAGTGTAGCCATTTCTGGAAGCTGTAACATTTGCAAATAAAGGATGCCAAATTGCGTTTCAGGAGGTCACCAAGAATGCACATATCGGTTGTTTCATTGTGGAAAGCAAGGACTTATGAGGTCCAATGCTACTGTAGATTTGTGATGTTTTGCTATTGGCTGGAAGGAATAGAGTTACCTTTCTATTGAATCTTTTAGCTATTGAGCCTGCAGCCCTTATAATGCAAGTGATTCATGGCTGTGCGCTTGCCAAGCATTTCATCAGTTTCAAGACTCCCCAGCTGTTTTTCAAAGATCAAGAACTTAGCAGCTACTGGGAGATGGCAAGAGGTTCTTTCCTGTCACCGTGAATTGAGGGAGGCGGGAGTTCAATTGACTGATCCTTCTGTCTTCCCTCCCATTCTCAAAGCATGTTCTGCGATATCTTTTGATTATGGCAAGTCCATTCATGCATCTTTGCTTAAACAGGGACTTGATTCATTCACTTCCTTGGGCAATTCTATTATTGACTTTTACGTGAAATCTGGAACCCTGGGTTGTGCAAATGATGTTTTTGATTGCATGAGGAACAGAGATTCAGTTTCTTGGAACATAATCATTCATGGACACCTTGATCAATGTGCTTTTGAGCAGGGGTTAGGCTTGTTTTTCCAGGCCAAAATTACAGGATTCAAACCTAACATATCCACTTTGGTGCTTGTGATTTGTGCATGTCGTGAGCGCCAGTTGTTTGATGATGGGCAAATACTTCATGGGTATATTATTCGTAGTGGGTTTTTGGCCATCTCTTCAGTTCAGAACTCCCTTTTATGTATGTATGCAGACATCAGGATGGAGTTTGCTCGGAAGCTCTTCAATGAAATGCATCATAGAGATGTAATCTCTTGGAGCGTAATAATTGGGTGGTATGTGCAAAACAATGAAGCCAGAGTTGCTTTAGAGTTGTTCCAGCAAATGGTATCTGAGTTTCACATTGAAGTGGATGGGCCTATAACTGTAACTATACTCAAAGCATGCACCAATTTACAGAACATTGAAATGGGAAATTTGGTCCACGGCTTTGCGATTTTGAGAGGCCTGAAATGTGACTTGTTTGTAGGAAACTCATTGGTTGATTTCTATTCCAAGTGTGATGATGTTGAATCTGCTTTTAAAGCCTTCAGCGAGATGAGTCAAAAGAATGTGGTATCATGGAATTCTCTACTATCTGGATATGTTCAAAGTGAGAAGCATTCTGAAGCCCTGTTGTTATTTGATTCAATGAGAAGGGCAGGAGTTGAAGCTGATGAAGTAACCCTTGTCAATCTGCTTCAAGTATGCAAATATCTTATGTTACCATATCAATGCAAGTTGATTCATTCCAAAGTACTTAGACAAGGTTATGAATCAAATGAGTTGGTCAAAAATTCTTTAATTGATACATATGCGAAATGCAATTGCATTAGTCTTGCATGGAAGCAGTTTAGTCAGATGAAGCACCGAGATGCGGTCACTTGGAGCACAATGATTGCAGCATTCACTTACTGGGACATGCCTGGTGAAGCAATTACTCTTTTCCGAGAGATGAAGCTGATTGAAGAAAATCTTAACACAGTTACCATGTTGAATCTTATTGAAGCCTGCTCTCTTTTTGCAGATCTGAACATATCAAAGTCTGCTCATGGTATTGCTATTCGACATCGCTTAGCTTTTGAGGTTGCAGTTGGAACTGCTGTTTTGGATATGTATTCCAAATGTGGGGCGATACAGGCTTCAAGAAAAGCTTTGAATACATGCCCCAAAAAAACATTGTGTCATGGGGCGCTATGATTGCAGCATATGGTATGAATGGCCTTCCTCGTGATGCTTTAGCTTTACATGCCAAAATGGAATCTCAGGGTCTCAAGCCCAACTTAGTAACAAGCCTTTCTCTGTTATCTGCATGTAGCCATGGGGGATTGGTTGATGAGGGCTTGTCTGTCTTTGAGAACGTGATACAAGAATATGGTGTTGAAATTGGGGTGGAACATTATTCGTGTCTTGTGGACTTGTTGGCTCGATCTGGAAAGTTTGATAGTGCAATGGATTTTATCAACAAAATACCTTGTACAGTAAAGCCTAGCGCTAGTGCATGGAGTGCAATCTTGAGCGGTTGTAGGAACTCTGGTAATAGGGAGGTTGGGGCTGGTGCTTTAGCTCATATTCTTGAATTGGAGCCATCTAGTAGTGCTGGATATTTGCTGGCATCTAACATGTATGCGTCTGGTGGTTTATGGTCTGATGCTGCCAATATGAGATTGTTAGGCAAGAGAAGTGGGGCAAAGGTACTCGCTGGGTACAGTTTGGTTCATGTGAACAATAGGGCATACAGGTTTGTTGCAGGAGATAAACATGATCCATTATCTGATGAGTTATGCATTTTTATTGAACAATTACATTCGTGGATGAAGATTGAGAATACAGATCATGATAATATATTGGGAACAAAAAGGAAGGAAGTTAAATCCTGTTCTTCCAGTTTTCGCCTACAACAACAGCTAGAACAGTTTGTGGATGCTGGTACCTGATTTCTAAGGGTAGATTCATTCTTTTTTGTATCTAACTGCATGATGTAGCATTGCAACCCTGGAATCCATCTACCGGTTCTTTTTTACAGAGGCATTTTGTAAGCATCATTTATCTGTAGCTAGTTTTAGTTGATAGGACAATGTAATAGCAATAAGATTTTGTGCATTGATACTTGAGGACAGATGACACTAAACAGTGGTGGCCTTATCCTGCCAAATAGTTTAAACAAGCATTAGGAGAGTTGTTAATGTTGATCTCATGTTTATGTTGTATGCTTACTGTTGAAGAGTGTAGTTATTGGTGATTGAACTTTTTCAGTTGTCTATAACATGTGAAAACTATGATATTCAATACTTGCTCCTTAGAAGAATGAAGCTACTTTCACATTGTTTTCTGTCTTCCCCTCCAAACAATCTTCCTTAAAAATATACCCTTCCATGCTGGTAGATGCTGGAAATATCAGAAACCAATGCCTTTTGGTGGTTTGCTTTTCCTCATGGATTATCTTCTACTTGAATATGTGGAATTATTTAGTAAAAGGGTAAAATAAAAAAGAATATGTGAAATTATTGCAGTTGCTGATATATTGTGCCCTTGAAGTTGACTAATTGTGTGACAGTATTGTGTACTCGACGGTGAACCTGTTGTTTTCTTCAGTTTGTATTACAGAACAAATGGAATTTGATATTTTGCTGAAAATTTAACTTGAATTGGATGCCTGATGTTGTCATTTAATATCTCAATTGCCCTTTTACACTGCGGTTCTTTTGTTATAGCCTAGTGGTCTTTCAGGTGCTTTTGTCAATTATATCTGAAAAGAGGGTAGGGGATCAATTTAAACAGGTCTTTAAAGATATGGTGTTCTCTGTAACTTGCTATCTTCATGGGGGCAATACAGGAGTTTTGAGATATATAGTCTCTTTTACCTTTATTGGTCTAAAAGGAAAACTGTTATTTGTAGTTTGTATTTGAATATATATTCTTTGAACTTGGGGTTGCATATCTGTGCTTGCTGTCCAAATAATATCAGCTGATTTTGTGCTGAGTTAAGCTGGTTACT